TAGCAAATCTCTCCAAAATTAAACAGTTAACGACTTCAATCTGTCTATTCGATGCTGAATGTTTCTTGTCGTTGATGGAAAGAAAATTATTCTAGCATCATTAATGTATCAAATGACGGATATGGAGTCCTGCACTGTTCGACTAAAATGTCAAGTCTTTTTTGAAGACCTTACTTCCATGTTTTAGTGTTATCGAAAAAACATTCCGGATTTATTGAATGTGGTCTAATGTGTTTTTGCTGAAAAATGAACGCCAGTTTCAAATTGGATGTTTCAGCAGGATAGTCCGCAACGTTCTATGCGTCAATTGACACATTCCATAGAATGAAACAATGCAAAAAAACAAATGATGTATCTTACACCATTTTATATGAACTTTTTATCATCGAGAAACATTGGCCGACACCGAAGAAAAAATTTTGCATGTGCTGATGAAACGGACAAAATCATACCTTTTTTTAAAAAGAGTCATCGATAATTTTCAGTATTGTCATTCGTATAAATAATAAACTTTACATCGAAATCATGTCATGAAAAATATCGTCTAGTTTTCTTTTGACCATCAGATTCTTCTATAGACCCAGGTAAAATAATCTTTGCTCAAGTTTTCCCAAAGTCCGGATTAATTGCACTTCGAGAGTATGCGTGACGATCTTACTTATCATCCATTTTGCTCTATAACCATCATACAGTAGCAAACACTTCAAATGTTGGATATAACAACTGATGCTACCAAAAGCAAAGTGCAACGTTCTTGTTGATCTTATATATTTCATTTTTATGATAGCGAATGTAATTATAAGAACACTCGTACTCGAACAATTTAATTAAACAATTTTCAGGATGTATATTCAATGAAAATCGTGCTGCATCACGTATTCTACATGAAAGTCAGTGATTGAGAATATTTTTCATTTAAAAAAGGAATAGTGAATTTACTCATCTGAAAATTAATAGCAATTTAGGGATCTAGATATAAAAGTGTAATGAAACAAACTACGGAAGGGTGGGTGTAGGTCTTGTCCTCTTCGATAGCCACACCCGCATCCACCCACACCCACACCCATTTTAATGATAAGTCAACAATGACAGGTCTCAAAGAAAACTAAATTCTTGCATATACTATCGTTTACACTGCAGAATGGTAAAAGTTTGCGTGCCAACGCAGAATCGCTTCCGTATTAGTATTCATAAAATCTGATCTGTTTATATGGTCATACAGGATAATCCCAGATTCTAGTTATCTTGAGGGTAAATTTAGTAAGATTTTGGGATTGTCATACAGGTCATATGTTTTGCCATAATGTGCAAACACAACACAATTGAGAGCGATGGATGACTGAGAATGAATTTATTCATTTATGATATAATAGACAGAAAATTCTTAACAGTTTTTATGATTCGAACAGTTTCTTCGCAAATAATTTTGTCACACTTAGGTATCTAAAGTAGCTCAAATGGAAAAGTTAATAACTCCTAAGAATAAAATTATTGTTGCTCTTGATAATTTGATATGCCATCGGTAAGGAATGTTAACTATTCTCCAAGCAAACCTCTATATTGGTCTCAGTTCCCTTTCTATTTTTTCATTCGTCATTAATCAACGTATATACGAATAACTGCCTGTCTGTCTACTATTTGTAGAGAGTGACGTGTTACTTTAGTTAGTCATCGAATCGTCGTCATTATCTACGCTGAGAAGAAAGTGAATTAGTTATTTCGACAGTTCGTATTGTATGACAATATCTTCTGTATTGGATAAACTCCATTCATTAATTCCCAACAACAACTGTAAGTGACGTTATGCAATTTTCGAATCAAATATGATAAATTTACGAAAAATATTGTAAACAAGGTAGACAAATTGTAGTTGATACAAGGCGATGATAGAGTAAGACAGAATATAGTTAATTTAAACAAGGAGCAGCATAAAATCGAATTTCTAATTTTTATGTGTATTTATTATCGTTCAGCTTACTCAGTTTTTATTTCTTCACCGATACTTCAGCGATTCGATAAACATGACATAATCTAGAATGATTTTAGTTAAAAGTCTACATAGAAGTCTCTCGTATGATTTCAATGATTAATAGAATTTCAGCCGATTTAGTTGACAAGTCTTTTTTATAATCGACAGCAAAAAATGAAAACCTATGCTAATTTCGGACACAAAAACATGAATATGATAAGATCATCAAAATCTTTCGGAGATTATACTTCGTTATTCAAAACTATAAGTACAACTTTTCTTCTGCTAGAACAGATCAAATTAAATATGAATTTATCATGCTATTGTTTTGTATCGCAGCTTTTTATATTTATCCTTGTTTTAATCTTAACGATGGCCAATGAACAATGTTCAAATGAATTAAGCTGTGACAAAACCTCGGAAAAACCGTATCTTTTGGATTCTTCAACTTTTTCATCAGAAAAAATGAATAACTTTGGTGAATTTCGTTTTGATTCAAATCGAAGTATGAATTCATCCATAAGATTTAGCAACAACGATTGTACTGTAGAATGGCTAGAACCTTCTATGGCAGTCTGGATCCCAGTTGAGACAAAAGCAAAACTACATTCAGGAAAATGGTCATTAGAGTTCGATATCGAATGGATGGGAACTCATCAAATTGGAGTTGGTTTCTTGTTAGATTGGAATATTGGTTCTGATTGGGGATTTTTTGGTTATTTAGGTTCCTCTAGTAGCGCATGGTCGTATGATCCATCGACTGGTGATATTGTTACTAATACAGAATCGATTCATGGTAATCTACCGAAATTTACTGGAAATAGTGGAGTGATTGGATTAGAACTTGATCTTCCAAAAAATGAAATTGGCAAATTCACATTTATCGTTGATGGTGTTCGAATACCAACGAAACAACTGTCCAATTCAGGCGCTGTAGCTATACCAGCTGTTTGCCTTTTATCGCGTGGGCAAAAAGTCACTATTAGAAATTTAGTACGATTAAATCAAGACTAAACTATATGATCAGTGTAAACTGAATAAGAATTGTATATATTTTAATCTAGACGAAATCAATTACCTAACATGACTATATTGATTGTATGAATGACTAAATAACAAGTTCTAACAAGGAAAAAAATTTAAAGACATGAATAATCTAGAAGCTCAACAAAAATCATCGTACATTCGAGCAGATCAATGCAGACTGCTATTACATAA